CCAAAAAAACTGTTCTGCTGGTGATGTTGGACCTCTCAGCAGCTTTTGATACTGTAGACCATCAGGTCCTAATCACTCATTTGGCTCAGCAGGTTGGCCTTCAGGGAGTTGTGCTAGAGTGGTTTAAGTCCTATTTAACAGACAGAACTTTCTCTGTTATGATTGGTGATCTGTCCTCTTCTTCAGTCTCTTTGACCTCTGGTGTACCGCAGGGATCCATTCTGGGGCCTGTTCTCTTCTCACTTTACATGCTACCATTAGGACCCATCATTGCACGCCATAATCTGTCTTTTCATCTGTATGCAGATGATCTACAAATCTATCTGCCGGTCACTCCCAGTTCCTCACTCGGTTTCAACTCGATTGCCAGCTGCTTAAATGACATTAAGCACTGGCTGTCTCAGAATTTTCTCCACCTCAATAACGATAAAACTGAATGGATTTTATTTGGTGCTTCCAGTAATTCATGCAACATCTCTCCCAGTCTAGGTTTTCCGCTTCCCCACGCCAACCAGGTGGTAAAAAATCTAGGAGTGGAGCTTGACTGTAACTTAAAGCTAGACAAACAGATGAGTTCTGTTGTGAAAACCAGCTTCTTTCAGCTCCGTCTGCTTTCCAAAGTAAAATCACTCCTTAGCCGTAGTGATCTGGAGAAGGCCATCCATGCCTTTGTGAGCTCTAGGCTTGATTACTGTAACGCCTTATATGTGGGTATTAATCAATCTTCTATCTCCCGTTTACAGCTTGTACAAAACTCTGCTGCTCGCTTGTTGACTAACACACGTAAATATGAACATATCACTCCTGTCCTTTCTTCTTTACACTGGCTCCCAGTTCAGTTTAGAACACAGTTCAAGCTGCTACTGTTTGTTTTTAAAGCTTTGAATGGCCTTGCACCACCTTATATTTCAGAACTTTTGAAAGTCCACCAGCCCAGCAGAGCTTTACGGTCTGCTGGTCAAAATCTGCTGGAGGTGCCACGCTCAAGGTGCAAACAATGGGGGGACCGGTCCTTTTCTGTTGCAGGCCCAACAGCCTGGAATACTCTTCCCTATGAGCTGCGTGCCATCTCTGATCTGGTTCTGTTCAAAGCCAAACTGAAAACATACTTATTTAAAAGGGCTTTTAATGTTTAACTTTTAGTAGTTTAGTATTTAGTATTTATTTTTTTATTTTATCTCTTTTACCTTCTTTTATTCTCGCTGTGTTTTTTAATTTGCACTGATTTATTGTGTCCTGTTTGTAATCTTGTTTTGTCTTGTGAAGCACCTTGGTCAATGCAAGGCGTTGTTGGAAGGTGCTATAGAAATAAAGTTTATTATTATTATTATTATGTTGATCTTCTGTGCTGGTCCATCCTTTTGGCCAGTGGCTGTTTAGTTTCCCCGATGTAAGACTGATCACCCTCCTGACACTGAACAACATACACAACATTACTCTGTTTGTGCCGGGGGACTGGATCTTTGGGATGAACCAGTCTTTAATGTATTTTGGGGTTTAAAAGCCACTGGGACGTTATGTTTAGAAAATAAACGTCTCAGTTTCTCTGATACTCCCTCAACATATGGAATGACCACTGGTCTGGGTTCCTCCTTTTCACCTGTTGGCTGACTGGAGTCCTGTTTGAGTTTTTTCTCTTCTTTCAGGAAGGCCCAGTTAGGATATCCACATTGCTCTAGAGCCTGTCTTGTGTAGGATTTCTCCTTCTGCCTGGCTCCTGAGTTAGTGGGGATGCTGTCTGCTCTGTGGTACAGAGTCCTGATGACTCCTAACTTGTGCTCCAAAGGGTGATGGGAGTCATCAACAGTGTTTGCAGTTTGACTCCCATGGACACGATGGCGGGAAACGTAGTTTTTTTTGTATGTTAATTAGAGGAAAAGATCTGCATTGACACGGACGAATTTTGTGTTTACATTCATCTGGAGGAATCCACCCCCGCCCCCCTAAATCCGCTGTAGTTACCATGCCGGGTCATTAGATGGCACTGTGAATTTTGTACCTTCACCTAATGCGCATGCGTGCTGCCTCGGCATGCTCCTTTCCTGTGGGCTAAAAGTTCAGCTAACAACATCTTAACAAGTTAAAGATGGATTGGATTTTGGATAAGAGTCGACAGATTTGACGCCAAGCGGGACCGCTTCATCTAACAGCTCCACATGGGTCGCTGAGTGGAGCAGAACCGAGTCGACGATGTCAGACTTTACTTCGTGATAATCAGCAACTGATTTAAAGCAGGTAAATCAACATTCTTAATAATGTTTGCTTGTGTTTTCTTCGATCACACAAGAACAAACTGAGTTTTTATTTTTACTTTTCCTGAAAGAAGAAGAAGCTGTCCTCCACCAGGCGGACCGGTTCTGAACGAGGCTCGGCCCAGGTGCAGTGTAGATGGACGTCGAAGAGAGAGATGTTGGATGAACTATTTATTCAAAAATCTTCTCAGTTCTTTTATTCAATCCATTGAATGTTTTAAGCTGCATTAATCAGAGTGACAGCTTGAACGAGCCACATGGATAACGTGGGACCAGATTCCAGGATGAAAACAGAGCAGAGTCCAGTTCATTAATGTAGTTTACAGTTCAGTTAACTTGTTTTTAATAGTGTGTTCAGTTTAATTATCAGTGTTTGTGTGACATACAGTTTGTAGTGTTGAATAAATAAATAAAAAATTAAACCTGACGTCTTTATTTTCAACTTTAGTAACATGCAATATGTTTAGCATCATTTTAAATTTGAATTACAAAATGTCCAGATAGCTTCATTTAGCTCAGAGCTTCATTATATTTCACACTAACATAAATACTGTTTATTGTTATTAAACTGTTATTATTTAGCACATTTAGTATGTTATAGTCCAGCGTGACGTGTGCGCATGCCACGTTCTATAAACAGCGACATTAGAACTGGATCAGATTGTGTCTCTTCCAACACAGATGTCGGTCACAGCACCTGGAATCTGACGTAGATTAACTACGAGATTAAAATATATTCCATCAGTCGTAGTTCTGAAAGCACTGTGTCCGCCGCCATGTTGATAGAAATATGCCGTCTTTCCGACCGTGCGTGCGTGTGCGCATGTGGTTTAACACAAAGCCTCAGCGGGAGATGTTTACATTATCAGCGGCAGTCAGTGAAAAACCTCCACTCTGGAAGGTGGATTCAGAAACTTCCGGATTTGGTGGGGGGGGCACTGGTGTCGTGTAAATGATCAGCAGAACTGCAGAGAAAACGGAGCGGATTCACTCAAAATACATGCCGTGTAAACGGCCCCTCAGACTGAGCAAGTCTTTCGGATGAAAGACGAAACATTTCTACTTTTTTTTTTGTTTGTTTGTTTTGCTTTGTTTTATTTTTTGAATGTCCAGAGGACCAGATTTAACTTTTTTTAGATTGCACCAGTCGTGTTTTCTGCTTTGCAGGAGGTGTTGTTGGGCCATTTCATGTCTTTTATAGTCCATGCCCTGAACACCAGGGCAGGGTCTTCTGACCCCTGACTTGTAGGCAGAGTTAGAGACATCTGTCTGTTTTTTCCAGTCTGGTGCCATGAGAGATGGGAGAAAGAGCCTTTGTGTGCATCTTCTTCCCCCCATTCTGTGGATCTTGGTTCTGGAGTGAGGCTGATGAGAAGTTTTTGGCTTCTGGTGTGGCTTGCAACAGGTGAAGATGCATAGGAGGGCTTGGCTTGGTCCCTCTACTGGGTCCGATGCCACTGTTGTGGTGTAGAGAGGGTGGACACGAGGGGAGCAGAGAGTCGTCCCTAACAATAGGGATATAAAACAGACCTAGGCTGTATGCGTTTTCACAGTATCAAGCCTTTTTGAGCAGTTAAAAAAAGGAAGAAAATATTTAATTTAAATGTTTAATAACTTTACCTAATGGAAGCATATATAAGGTAAAGAGTATTGGACCAAGCACTGAATCCTGAGGAATTCCATGACTAACTTTTGTGTATAAAGAAGATTCATTATTTACATTACAAATTGAAATCTATCAGATAAATATGATTTAAACCATCTTAGAGCCGTTCCTGTAATCCCAACATCATATTCAAGCCTCTGTAGTAAAATATTGTGATCAACTGTATCAAATGCAGCACTGAGGTCTAACAGGACCAGTAGAGACACAAGTCCATTGTCTGAGGCCATGAGAATATCATTAATGACTTTTACTAGTGCTGTTTCTGTGCTATGATGAGCTCTAAACCCTGACTGAAACTCTTCAAACAGATTATTTCTTTGTAGATGTTCACACAACTGACCTGCAACTAGTTTCTCTAGAATTTATGAGATGAAAGTTAGATTAGATATAGGTCTACAATGGGCCAGGATTCCTTAGTAAAGATTATGTTTCTTAAATAAAGTTTTAATTTTAGCAATCATAAAGCATATTGTTACATAACCATCCATTAAAGACAAATTAAGCAGATCCAAAATGTGGATAATAATTAATGTTAATATGTCTTTACATAGCCTGGTTGGGATGGGATCTAGCAGACATGTGGATGGTTTGGATGAGGTTATTATTTTTGACAATCCAGAGCTCAACAGGACAAAAACTGTCCAAACATAAATCAGGTTCTAGTGACATTTTTAAAGTTGCCTTATCTGATAGGGGACCAGAGGCAATAGAAGGAATGACGGTTTGAATTTTCTCCCTAGTTGAAATAATTTTATTTGTAAAGAATCTCATGAAGACATCACTCATCATATCCCAGAGGAGGTATCAAAAATAAATTCCCAATAGCCCCACAGCTTTGGACAAGTCCAGAATGTGTGTAAGAGCGTAGCTGGAGTTTGTTTGCAAAGATTACATGCAGGATCCAGGTTAGTTTTAATCTTGGACAATTTATCTTTGGACCGGTGCAGTTGGTACACCACCTTGAATTGAATTATAGCATGTCTCTGAAGATGACATGCTATAATTCAATTCAAGATGACATTTGTGGGACACTAGGGGACAGACCTGTATGTTTAATGCTTGTTGTTTTCTCTTCTCTACAGGAAAAGCAGGTTCCCTTCAAATACTGCAGGATGAGATCTTAGAGAAATCAACAAATCTTCAAGGACTTGATGACAAACTAAAGAAACTCCTGGCACAACTTCAAGACAAAGCCAAAGATCTTCGTAGCTGCCAGGGCTAGGTGCTACCAGACACAAGCATTGCAGTGCCTCTCAGATTTTCGTCATTTACACCCTTCTTTCATTTTCATGTATTTGCACTTTTATCGTACATTTTCTCCCCAAAAAAAATGTCTGTTTCTTACTTTGAAAGGCAGTTAAATTGTATGCTTTAATATGCAGTTTGCTCTACAGTTAACTTTTTAGTACAACCGTTGCTCTATTATTTATTTATCCTTTTGCTTTTTTTTTGTTTGTTTGTTTGTTTTAAATAAAAAAAGAAGCTTGTCTACAGTCATATTTGTGTCTTTGGCAAGGCTGGATCTACCATGTGGGCAATCTGGGGACATGCCCAGGGGCCCTTGGCATAGAGGGGCCCTCTGTTGGCAGAATTTTTTTTTGTCACAACAACAAACACTGGGCATTCTGACTCCCCTCCTCCGTGCGATACAGCACTATGAGGGAGGATGGAGAAGCTGCTCACTATAACGGTCACAATGGGGCAGAGAGAATTTCAATTTTTTCAAAATAAAACAAAACCCGATAAAATTCACAAATCCACTTTATTCCTGGTGCCTCTACTGTAAAAAATGAATATTCAAGAAACTTCCAGTCCGACACCGGAAGTATCTGTAATATACTGGTGGAGAACAGAGTGCGAGGTTTGATGTAAGTTATTTGCAGTCAGTTTATCAGAGCAAATGTTTTTGTTTAAACGTGAAGTTTACTAAAATGTCCTACTGGGGTTCAGGTACCTGCTGTGCTGTTTGCGGCTACACAAACAACCAGACCAAGCTAAATAAGTGGCTACAACAACAGTGGTTTGAACACGGACCCAAACAACAACAAAAAAGAGTGTTCCTGTGAAAAGCGGTATGGTTTCCATCACCTACCTCTAGACGACGAAGCAAGAAGAATGTGGCTGAAAAATCTGAATTTGAAGAAACTGCCCTAAACACTGTATATGAGCTCATTTCACTTTGTTGACAAATGGCAGACGGAGGAAAACCTGCATCCTACTTTGTGTCTGGACTACAATAAACCACCAGAGAAGAGACACCGGATCCTCAGAAGGTTTGACAACAGTGATGAGAATATCAGATATGATTTCAAGTGTATAGAGAGTATTATAGTACTTTTTTATTTGTTATTACAATTTTCTCTGCAATTAAAATGCAATGTGTTTTTATGGCACTGACAGCATGGCAGCAGAAATCTAAAATTATTGTAGTTTCATAACAGAACAGTTCATGAATAATCCCTGATGCATTTTTAAGAAAAATCTTACTATCAATTTGTATTTCTAGCTTTGATAATGTACCCAGTTTTAAAACCCTAATGCATCTTACATTAATAATTACGTATATGTGTTATTACTACCAAAGAAGAACCTTTGGCAGTGAAACAGTTGGCAATGAAGTTGTTCTTATTAGGAGTAAAAAGTTCCAAGTTGAGACATTCAATATAATTTTTTCAGTTTGCTGTCAGGACTGAACAAATGGCTGGAGGCATACAGAGACATGGACTGTTCAGACATTGATCTCGTCCAACAGGCCAATGTTCTCTCATCTTCATATCCAGCTGACTTGGATAACTCCTTTTCTGATGAGCTGATCCAGTTTAGGTCTGCGGTGGCTGTGGACAAACTTTACATCAATGGTCAGCTGTTTAGAGATCCAGAGGTTACTCCCTGGCTCTATTAGTAATATAAAAAAAAGGTAAGTATGATCTTCAGTTGCTAATTTTACTTAAAATGTATTAGCAAGCATATATATTCATATTACTTACCAGATATTTATGTAATTTTTCAGCACAGCTCGGTTGGTGGGTTACACAGATGGTGGTGGTACACGGTGGCATGGCACTTAATGTGGTAAGGGGGTTCCTTTTTTATTTTTTCTTCTTTTATCTTTATGTGTTTATTGTGTTTATTATCATCTCACTTTATTTTTTTTGTCTCTATTTTTCTGACTCAATAATTATTAGCACACAGGCACAAAGGCTTATATATATCCATATACATACATACAAATACCTCATAAAGGAATACATGCATGATTTACCTTCAAAAACAGCACTTAGTTTATCTATAAATCATAAATAATCAATCATTAAGGATTATGTTATTGTCTGGGTGTTTTACTATTTTTGATATTTGTGATAATGGGTGTGGTTTAATTATATTTTCACAAGCACAAATATGGGCATCTTAAGGTTTGTCACATGGAATATTAATGGAGCCGGTAGCCAACATAAAAAAAATAGAATCTTTAGCCAGATTAAAAGATTAAAGGCAGATGTTGTATTACTCCAAGAGATTCATAAATTACCGTCAACTGTGGATGAGCTAAAGTCTCCTGAGTTTCCTCATGTATTCTCAGCCTGCTATAACTCAAGACAGAGAGGAGTAGCAATATTAATACATAAAAATGTGAACTTCACAATATTAGACACAGTTATAGACCCGCAAGGTAGATATATAATATTAAAATTATCCATACTCAGTCAAAAATATTGTATTGTTAGCTTATATGGGCCAAATGTGGACGATGCTGCTTTTTTTCATGATCTCTTTTCTACTCTATCAAATCACATGGATTGCTCGCTGGTACTGGGAGGTGATCTTAACTTTGGTCTAGATAACAAAATAGACAGGCTGAATGCAGTAGGAGCTCAACGCAGTTGGCAATCCATAAATGTAGTTAAACAGTACATGAGTGATTATGGACTCTGCGATGCATGGCGGTCTCTTCACCCTAATAGTAAAGAGTATTCTTTCTTTTCACATGTGCATCACTCTTACTCTCGTTTGGATTATTTTATAATCAGCAACTCATTGCTGACCAACATTTCAGACACTAAGATACACCCTATTGCTGTCAGTGATCATGCACCAGTTACTTTAAATTTAGATAATAAGAAAGAAATCCCAAAAAGTATAAACTGGAGATTAAATACCTCACTGCTTATGGATGAAGAATTTATACAATACTTTAAAAATGAATGGACATCGTATTTAGAGTTTAATGACTTGCCAGGTACATCAGCGTGTACACTCTGGGAGGCTGGGAAAACAGTTATGAGAGGGAAAATAATATCCTACGCAACAAACAAAAAGAAAAAAGAAAATAAACGTATTGAGGATTTAGAGAAATCTATCAAATTATTAGAAAGTTTACAAGGAGAGGAAACACAGACAAAACTACGCAAGATAAAATTAGAACTAAATGAATGTATTGACAAAAAAAACAAATTCTTAGTACAAAGACTTCGCTTGGAACATTTTGAACACAGTAATAAATCCGGTAGCTTTTTAGCTAATCAACTCAAATTAAATAAAGAAAAAACGTCTATATATGGTATTAAAGACACAAATGGTAACATAACTTATGACGAGGAAAAAGTAAATAGTGTTTTTAGAGATTTCTATAAAACTCTATATACTCCACAAATAAACCCAACAGATGAAGATATTAATCAATTCTTGGAGAGAGTAATACTTCCAAAACTAGACAGTAGTCAATCGTCAGAACTAGACTCACCATTAACATCAGATGAGCTCCGTGAAGCCATTAAAAACATGCCTAATAAGAAATCTCCAGGCCCAGATGGATATCCAGCAGAATTTTATAAAGAGTTCTGGAACATCCTGGAACCAATATTTCACAGAATGCTACATGAGTCAGAAGAAAATGGCAGGTTTCCAACACATATGAACTCAGCCAACATTAGTCTACTATTAAAACCAGGCAAAGACCCAGTACTACCTACCAGTTATCGCCCCATCTCTCTTATTAATGTAGATGTTAAAATAATTAGTAAAGTCCTCTCTAAAAGATTAGAGAAAATAATTCCTCTCATTATTCATCCTGACCAAACTGGATTCATAAAAGGAAGACACTCAACCACAAATACACGCAGATTATATAATTTAATAGAGTATTCATATAGTAAAAATATTGAAACGGCTATTTTGTCTTTGGACGCAGAAAAAGCATTTGATAGGGTAAACTGGAAATTTTTATTTTCTACATTGAGTAAATTTGGTTTTGGGGACCATTTCATTAATTGGTTAAAAATATTATATAACTCACCAAGAGCATGTGTCAGGACAAATAATCAAATATCTTCAAGCTTCTGTTTACAGAGGGGGACCAGGCAGGGATGTCCACTTTCACCTGCACTATTTGCTATTTTTATTGAACCTTTAGCAGCAGCAATAAGACAAACTGCTGATATTAAAGGTATACTGTGTAGAAATATAGAACATAAAATTAGTCTTTATGCTGACGATGTCTTACTTTTTCTTCAGAACACAGAAAAGTCAATATCTAATCTTATCGAATTAATAAACTCATTCTCAAAAGTTTCTGATTATTCTATAAATTGGTCAAAATCCACAGCTCTTCCAATAAACTGCGTGTTTAATACTTCTCTCAATGAACGACTACAATCAGGTAACATTACATACTTGGGCATTAATATTTCTCCTAGATTAGAAGACTTAATAAAATTGAATCATATCCCAATTTTAAAGAACATTGAAGATGATCTTACTAGATGGAAATCTCTGCCCATATCACTTATGGGAAGAGTTGCCTCAGTAAAAATGATGGTCCTGCCGAAAATAAACTATTTATTCTCAATGATTCCAAATAAACCTTCAACTGAATGGTTTAAGTCACTGGACTCTTTGATATCTAAATTCCTTTGGAAAAACAAAACTCCACGTATTAGCTTAAAAGCATTACAGAAATCTAAAGATACCGGAGGGTTAGAACTTCCCAACTTCTATCACTACTATTTAGCCAATAGGTTACAATATATCTCAAAGTGGTTAAATCCAAATACATTAGATGAAACTTGGATAGACATAGAACAAACTTTATGCAATAATATTAAGATTTCAGATCTACCGTTTATTAGCACAAATATAAAAAGACATGTTTGCTTTAAAAGCATCAATATTAGCTCTTCTCTGACAGCATGGTGGGAGTATTTGAAAATGACAAAATCTTCACTACTCCCCTGTAGACATACACCCATCTGGAACAATCCTGACATCCTACAAGAAAATAATATGTTAAATTTCCCAGGTTGGAGAGTCAAGGGAATTGA